GGACACATTATCTTCAAGGACATAAGCTCAGCACAAAATACAAACTCAGAATACATAATAACTTGAATCTTAATTGATTATAAGAACCATAGGAATCATGGAAAAATACAGACTCAAAACACATAATAGCTTGAATCATACTTAATTATAACAGTAGATTCACTGTTTGTTTTTTGGGGGGTGGGGGTTGCAGTGTTCTTGTGCGTAGTTGGAAATTTATTGTACAAGTTAATTCCAGGTTTTGTCAGTTTTTGTAATCAAAGAAGTTCAACTTTAGCTGTTTATGTAATTTGTGGGATTATAACTGTTATCTGCACAGAAGACATTTCTGAGTTCTCTCTGCTTGTGGCCATGATTGTGCTTTTTCCATAGATGTGACCGTGTGTGTAGATGTTTCAGGAGTTAAAAACACACACACACACACACACACACACACACACACACACACACTCACTCAGACTGCTTGTGGTTGATGGTTGAGAGGGTTAAATGAGAGTTAAACATTTACCCAGACCTGTTCTTCCATCACAGGCAGCACCGACAGACGACACCCACAGCAGCATCACAGGCGTCCCTGAGATCGTTGCAGTTATCGATGAGGAGAGCGATCCCATGAATGAAACGGAGGAATCGAGCGGTCCCGGTGACGTGGATTCAGACGAGGACTGGAAGCCAGTAAAGGATCTGTTCCCACTTAAAGTCCTTCAGGGGCAACCTGATGAGAAACCCAAAGAGGAAGGGGCAGAAGAGGCGGATGATTACACGTCCATCCTCCCCCCAAACAGCGAGCTGTGCACGGACTGTGGGAAGTTTTTCAATAAACGAAAGTCTCACACCTGCGAGCACAAAGTAAAGCCTTATTCCTGCAATATCTGCGGCAAGAGGTGCGTCAGCGAGATTGCTTTAAACTCTCACGGCAGAATCCACAATGAAAGCTACGAGCATCGGTGCAAATACTGTCACGTCACGTTCAAAACCAAGGTGGACAAGATGACTCATGAGCAGACCCACCTCACTGAAGGGAAGCCCTATAAATGTCCAGACTGCTCAGAGACCTTCGCCTCCAACAAGGAGCGCACGCTTCACCTGGAAGANCAAAAACACACACACACGCAAAAAAATGATGGCAGTTTGTAAATAAAGAGTATTCAAAGGGTATTCTTTACAAAATAATAATAAAAAAGATATTTTTTTTATTTAAATTATATAAAACCCGTCCGTCAATATTGTTAATTTACAGTCTGATCTTTGTACTGCACCACTCATCTGTACCAGCTGACCGGTGTACGCCTGACAACAAACCCATCGAACCCTCTCCTTAAGCCCCGCCCATCCAGCCTCCGCCGCTACCGTAGCAACAGCAGCTGGCTAATTTAGCTTCGCGCTGTTTGACAGCTAACCGAGTCGGGGTCCCGGACTCTGCTCACATCCATACAGGATCCCGAGCAGCGTCAGAGCCAGAGGGACACGACTCAGACCCGGGATGTGCTCCGTGGTCGGATGCGATTCGCTCCGTCGCAGTGCGCAGCGGTTCAAGTTACCGGAGGACCCGGAGAGGAGGCTGGAGTGGGTCCAGTTCCTGGCCACGGTCAACAAGCAGCGATTCAAGGAGTCGTCGTGGACCGACATCACGATCTGTCGGGAACACTTCAAAGATGACTGCTTTGTGGATCTGACCGGCACGGTTCAACTGAAGCCCGGTTCTGTCCCGACGGTGTGTCCGCAGACGGAGGAGCCAGAACCAGACCAGTGTGAGGTGAGCGTTGACCTCCGACCTCCTCCATCCACAGCTGCGTCCTGGCTGTCAGGACTGCTGGGGGTTTGTTTTCATCCATACATCCAGCTGAACATCCTCACTTTACATCAGACACAGCAGCAGCACAAGTTCACACACGTGCAAATATAAAATAAGATGAACAGTAACACTCAGAAAGATCAAGTTCAGTGTAAGTGAATGAGCAGCCCGACTAATCCACGTGTTGTGTCCTCCATGGTGCCTCAGATGATGCTGGTACTGACAGCAGGTGCGTAATGTGCTGCTGCTGCTGCTGCTGCCTCAGTAGCTCCATAAGCTCAGACTGTCTGATCAGTAAGTAAACACACCATACAGTGAGAGTCCACACACTGCCACATACAGGCTCAACAGGTCTATTCGACCTGCATCCAATGTGAGGTTTGTCATTTATCATGTTTCTGTAAGAGTTAAAAATGTAATGAAGCAAAGTGCACCTAATGCATTGAAAGTAGGACACATTCTGCAGAAAAATGGCTGCTGAGTTAAAAAAAAACAAAAAAAACAACAACTATTATACATTATGTTTCTGGATTAATATTAGCGCTGTTAAACAAGTTAAATTTGAAGATATGCAATTGGAAAATCTCAAAGGCTGCAGTTTATAAGATACATCATATAGCACAATATATCTATATATATACAGTCCAAATTAAACTCCAGGCAGATTTGAAATCTGCCCAGACAGAACTAAAATTTTGATTTTGCCTCAACCAAATCAAAATCCTTCTAATATCATAATGACATTGTAGTCCTGCCTTGGTACATTTTAAATCTGCCCATGCAGAATTAAAATTTTGATTTGGTCTAGACCAAACTGAAATCATCCTTATAACAAACTGAGAATGTAAGCCTGCCTCGACAGGTTTAAAATTTGACCACACCGAACTAAAAATCTGAAATAAATCAGAATTATAAGATTGATTTCACCTACGGCGACGGAGCCCCCCTGGGGGCCGGACTGCAGCGAGCCAGCGACGGAGCCCCTCTGGGGGCCGGACTAGAGCACGGTGACGGCGGAGCCCCTCTGGGAGACGGCGACGGAGCCCCTCATGCGGCCGGAATGGAGCTGGCGACGGAGGCCCTCCGGGGGCCGGACTGGGGCCGGCGACGGAGCCCCTCTGGCGGCCGGACTGGAGCACGGAGACGACGGAGCGCCTCTGGCGGCCGGACTCGGGCCGGACTGGAGCCTGCGGCGACGGAGCTCCTCTNAGAGGCCTTACAAGTGTCAGCACTGCGATAAATGCTTCAACCACAACGTGAGCTTGAAGAGTCACATCCAGCGGTACCACACGTCGAGCTCCGGATCCGAGCAGACAAAAGAAAAGGCAAAGGAAAGGGTGAGTGACGCTGGGGATGCTCAGGGCAAAGGGAGCAACAGAAGCGTGGACTCTGGCCTTGACAATGCCGAGGAAGATGAGGACACAGAAGAGGAGGCGCTGGCGGGGAGAGTACACGGCTTTAAAAAGAAAAGGAGAAGCACGGGTCGACCCATTGGACGTCCTAAGAGCTTCGGGTCAGGAAGCGCGGCTCTGTCAGTCGAAGTGGAAGGTCAGAGTTCAAACGCTCAGACGAAAGAAGAAAGCGACGACAAACCGGCGGAGAGCGACACATCCTTTGGTTCAGCGGCGGAGGAAGAGGAGAGGAGCAAGAAGGTGATGAAGAGAGGGGAGCATTCTGACAGTGACTCTGATTTTAAGCCGGCAGACAGAAAGAAAAAGAGGCGCCAAGGCAAAAGCTTCGGGAAGCACAGGGGGAGGCCGAGAAGCAAACTGGTGGTGTGACGACTGTTAATGTGTACATAGCCAAAGAGTTTATTTTACTGTACAAAGAAGAGCCACATTAGGACATTTATTTCCTAGAAAATCCCTAATACGAGGTACAAAACATGTATTTTGATTACAGCCTGAGAAGCTTCAGAACACATATTCACAGCTGTGTGCATCACGGCATCGGGCTGGAATTCAACATATACACCATTGTGATGTTAAGTGCCTGTGCTCCCGCCTGCTGTAGATTCATAGCATTTTATTCCTTATATTACTGTCACGTACAATAATGTTTGATGCATAAACTGCTTGAAAATTATTCACACGTGTTGCCAGCTGCCTACAAGGTGGGTTCGCTCTTCTGTACATCTTATCAGATCGCTGTTTGGAATAATATGTGTGAGATTATTCCTGAGAAGGGGCTAAGGAGGGAGTTTTATTATTTTGTGGCCAGAGATGGAAATCGTTTCAACTGCTTCTGTTTGGCGACAAACACAAACAGCAATAAAGTACTACAGCAGCTAGGAAAGATGTCTCCGGAACAGGTGTCTTTATTATTGTGAGAAATGCTTCATGGGTAATTCTAATGCCTAAAGCTTGAAAAGGGAAAATTCCTGCAAACTTTAAAAAAAAAAAAAAATGTTCTTGCTGTCCTGTGATAGAATCTTCTGCCTGTGATTTTGATTTTTTTTTTTGACATAGAAAAGAAAATTATTTAGTAAAACACAAGAGAGAAGAATGAAGGTGTACATGCATCAGTATGTACAGTCGTCCTCAAATGTATTCATTAAAGAAGGAAGAAAACAGCTGTCACTGAAATAAGCTGAAAAAAAGTAGTAATAATAAATAAAAATTTAATGAAAATCATGACATTGCTTTTGAATTGTGCTTCAACAGAAATATAAAAAAACATTAACATTTTTAATGTTTTTTTTAAATGATTCTTTTCAACCACAATTCAAAAGCAACGTCTTATTTCACTAAATTATAATTTAGCAAATTTTTATTTATTATTACTTTTTATTTATTAAGTTTCTAGTTATTTGAGTAACTGTCGTGAATTTTGCCTTTTCTTTAAAAAAACAAAACAAAACATAGATATACAAACCCTACAGATACATTGATAAATTAAAAAAACAAAACAAAAGCAATCTATATAATTAATTTAAAAAAAAAAAAAAAAGAAAGAACATGAACTTTATACACAGCTGAGCGTATAATCTGACTTTATCTCCGCCCGGTGTACGCCGGTCATCAAACCATTCGCCCCTCGCCGTGGAGCCCCGCCCCTCCAGCCGCTGTCACCGCCGCAGCAGCAGCTATGGCTCCGGTTAGCTCACCGGGACACATTTCTCCCGTTTCCTCGCACCTGTAACCATTCATTCACCTCATTCCAACACCGAGAGGTGAAAAAAACCTCAACTCAAACCCGGACATGTGCTCCGTCGTCGGTTGCGAGTCGCTCCGTCGACATGCGAAGCGGTTCAAGTTACCGGAGGACCCGGAGGAGAGACTGGAGTGGGTCCAGTTTGTTCTGGACGTGAACGGACAGCGGCTGAAGGAATCCACCTGGACGGATATCACCATCTGCAGCGAACACTTCACCAACGACTGCTTCGTGAACAAGAGTCCGACCGAACAGCTGAAGCCCGGTTCTGTCCCGTCGCTGAGTGTCAAGTCGGAACCGGAAGAAGCTCAGGTGAGACAGTAGCTTCTGTTTTCTGCACAACAATAACAGACACAGACACAGAACCGGGTCAGAACCAGCATCACTGTGAGGTAAACCGTTCAGTTTATACATGAGCAGCAGGTGTTTATATTTGACATATTTATTCATCATAAACCCAAATGTCTGGTTTCATCCCATCAGAACCACAAATTCACTCTCATGTCCAGTGTTTAACACATTTATTGGACCCACCACCCAATGTGAGGTTTATTAAATCCTAAAATCATTTCTCATGTTTCTGTGATGGTTAATACACCGGCATGAAGAAGCTCTTTAACCCAAATGATATGTTCAATGCAAAAATCTAATTAATATTATTATTATCCATGAATTTTCTAATTTACTGTTGGAAAAAAAAAGAAATAATAGTAAAACATATTATTATTTCTTGATGAAGATGTCAAATTATAGTTGTTTACTTGCATTCTTGAACAGAAAAGTGAGTTTTAGTGGTTGAATGTTCTGCTTAATTAATTTCTTTCCTGTTAAAACTGATGAAACGTCGAGAACTGAGTGCAAATTAAAGCACTTAATGATGCTGGATGTGCTTAACTAATTAGTCAGGTGGTCTAATAAATTTGTTGAGCTCTGTACATATTGGCTCATTCATTATGTTTACTGGTTTATGGTTACTCAAGTAAAACTACTAATACAACACGTTGACAATACTCCAATCAAAGTGAATATTCAAAAATGTACTGAAGTAAAAGTATGTACTTAGTATAAGCAAAGTGCACCAAATACATTGAAAGTAGGAGGACACATTCTGCAGAAAATGGTTGCTGTGACGTTTTTAAAAAAAATGCTAATATTGTATGTGTTTCTGGATTACTATCAGTGCTGAATCCTGTAACATGAAGTGCATCATGTTTGATGTGTGAGTTTTTGAGACCTCTGCATCATCAGTATGACTTTTTGTTCTGCCTGTAAAACCTGATTCATACAATCAGTGGACACAGAATCCACCACAGATCATAATTCATGCACCAGAAATGCCAGATGTAGCAAAACTGATACCAATTAAAACTCACATATGAAAATTGCTATTTAATTATTAGCATTGTTTTTATTATTTTTTAATTGTCAATAAGCGCTCTGGTTGTTTTGTTTTAATTAGATTTTTCTTACAATTATTTTATGGTTCAAGCTTTGCAGGGTTAAACTTGAATATTATGCAAATGGCAAATTGCAAAGGCTGCAGTTTATAAGTTACATCATACAGCACCAAGCGTCTACACTGCTCTTCCAGTGGTTTATACAGCGGTATCCATACGATGCTCCTTGTGACAATGCACAGAACACCAAACTGAAGTTTTACTTTCAAAAAAAATGTAACAAATCAAGTAGCTTTAAAAAAAGAAAAAGAAAAAAATCATAATATAATTTTTTCTTCTAATAATTATATGATCGCTGCACTAATGTTTATTTTGCACTTTACTGCTGTGGAGGTTCAAGGTTGAGCTCATTTAATCCACTTCAGATACTGTGTGTGTGTGTGTGTGTTTATATATATATGTGTGTGTGAGAGAGCCGTATGTCTCTAACTCAGCTTTTTATGACCCTGTTTTTAGCTCAGTGACGACACATTTGAAGATAATTTAGCTAAAAGGTTGCGTGTGCACGTCTAATCCAACAGACTTTCTTTCAAATGGAGCAACAATCTTCCTCTAACCGTCTCCATTCTGTGCTGTTTGTTTACACAAATCTGGATGTGTAAATAGGAAACTACCAAAGTGGTTCACAGTACAAATTTCTCAACCCATCAAGTTTGGCACAAGCATTTAATGTCAATACATGTGAAGATATGTGTGTTTCAGTGGAAAGGAAGAGCACGATGAAGCTGTCAGACAAAGACAGTGGAGTAGAAAGTGTGATATTTCCCTCTGAGATGCAGGACCACAGAAATATGATGCTGCATACGGTGAAAATACTTCAGTACAAATACCTCACATCTGTATTTAATTACATTTCTTGAATAAATGTGCAGATTCCACACTAGTACACAGTTTAATTAGTTGGTGCATGCACTACAATTGATTTATTTAAAAAAAAAAAAAAAGCAATTTTGGTGTGTTATATGTCCATTTTGTTTGTTTGTTTGTTTGTTTCCAAGCTATTAATGTTTTTGTTCTTTGTGTAGGAGTCTGCAGAAACTACGGAGAGTGTTTCTCAGGACGATCAACTCAGAGCATGTGACAGTCCGGCGTCCTGTTCGGACAAATCATCCACTTTAATAGGTAAGGATCTTCCCTTTCTTATGCATTAATAAACATCAAGTCTACATTTACTCAAGTATATTTCATTTTATGTGACTTATAATCTTCCATTTACAGCTGATCCAGGAAGCCCAGCGCCAAGTGACACCTCCGACTCCTTCTCTGATTACGGACAGTTGCTGCAAAAAGTTGTGAACATCGACATGATCCGGGAAAAGTAAGTGACACCAACAGTTACGCTTGCTTTAGATCTATTAACCTGTTTTTCAAAGCATTGCATTTTTGATCTTCTTTTTCAGAGCCGCGCTTCTTCAGATGAAAGGGAAGTACGTTGTGAACGAAAACCAGCTCCTCCAGCTGTTCGACAGCAAGTGCCCTTTCTGCGGCTCCAGTGTGAACGTGGAGAAGATTGTCCGCGGGGTCGTCGTCATCTTGAACCAGCAGTGCCTCGAGTGCGACTACAGAAACCAGTGGAAGAGTCTGGTCAATGCTGGCGTCCCAGCAGCTGAAGATAAACCCCTGACAGGAGGCGCAGAAGTCAAACCTGAGGTAGAAGATCAGACATACTGAACCGTACCTGCTTGTATTGTGCATCCAGCAAAGCTTTGCAACAAGTCACAGGATATTTATAACGTTAAATGTTTTGTCTGTGTGCTTTTGCTTTGAGCATTTCTTTGCTTGCTCCTGTAAAGTGTACATGTGAACTAGTAAACCCAGAAATCACCCGTTACCAGTGGCGCCTCTGGCATGAAAAGTTGAGTGGTGGCGCAACACACTGTCCAGCTATAAGCAGCATCTGATTCTTCTGTGATACATACAGTAGAACCTGAGACTGATCTGTAGTACATGAGCCACAACAAATGGCAAAACCTACACGCTAAATGCAATTTCATATCAATGTAATGGAAAAAAAGAATACAACCTATTTTTTATGCATAGCGTTGAAAATAAAGGATCACTAATAAAATGCCACTCACCAGTGTTGTTGTGGTAAAGTGCTACATTTAGCCGTTATCAAAGAATCTACTTCATTTTTTTTTTTTTTGGTCTTGTTCGCTCACAACGAAAACCAACCTAGCTTGCTGCGTGCTTCCAACCGCCAAACCCGGACACGTTTATTACATCTTGTGTCATTCCAAGAACCACAGCCACAGAACCTGGGCCGTCTACAGAGAGCAGTTTGGACACCATTATTTCAGCATTTCATCACTTAACAAACGCTGATGGGCCCCATTCTCAGGCGCGTCAAGAGGAATTAGGCTACTCGTCGGCATTATGTGGACAAAGCCTTTGGATGATGCAGAAATGTTTATATCGAAACCGTCTTTGTAACATAATTGGTCTTTTTAGAGTATTATTGTTCTTGATAAAATATTCTTTATAGATTATTACTCTGCACTTAATCCTTTGAAGCCAGCATAGAGCTCCACAGCCAGACGTCACTGCCTGTTACATTTAGTTATTTGACTTTCAGGACATCAAGTGTGTGATACAGATTTAAAAGTTGTTGTCCCTGTATTTTTTATTTTTTTTTACAGACGGTGTCGATAGATGGCGATAGCAGCAGCAGCATCACAAGTGTCTCTGAGGCTGTTGAAGTTACTGATAAGCAGACTGAGCCTGCAGATGAAACAGAGGAGTCAAGCGATGAAGGCGCCACCGGGTCAGACGAGGACTGGAAGCCGGTGACGGAGCCCAAGAAGGTTCGGAGCGATTCCGAGGAGGAAAGTGAGAGCGAATATGAAGACGATTATCCGTCCCTGTTCCCCCAACACAGTCAGCTCTGCACGGACTGTGGGAAGTTTTTCAATAAACGAAGGTCTCACACCTGCGAGCACAAAGTAAAGCCCTACTCCTGCAACATCTGCGGCAAGAGGTGCGTCAGCGAGCTCGCGCTGAATTCTCACGGCAGAATCCACGATGAAAGCTACGAGCATCGGTGCAAATACTGCCACGTCACGTTCAAAACCAAGGTGGCCAAAATGACTCATGAGCAGACCCACCTCACTGAAGGGAAGCCCTATAAATGTCCAGACTGCTCAGAGACCTTCGCCTCCAACAAGGAGCGCACGCTTCACCTGGAAGATCACAGAGGCCCCAAACAGCTCAAGTGCCACATCTGCGGGATCGACTTCCTTTGGCCTCTTTCCCTCCAGAGACACTTGGCCGTGCACACCGGAGCGAAGCCGCACAAGTGCTCGGTGTGCCAACGAGGCTTCAACCAGCCGAGCCACCTGAAGTCCCACATGCGCCTGCACACGGGGGAGAGGCCTTACAAGTGTCAGCACTGCGATAAATGCTTCAACCACAACGTGAGCTTGAAGAGTCACATCCAGCGGTACCACACGTCGAGCTCCGGACGTGAGCAGAGCAAGAGTAAAATAAACAAAGCTGTTAACGATAAAGAGAAAGAGCAGGATAAAGAAGAGGAGAAGGTACAGGTGCCCAAAAAGAGGAGCACCGGGAGACCAATAGGACGACCGAGGAGAAACACAGCAGAGAGCTCGGTTCATGGAGCAGAGACGCAAAGTTCAAATAGGAAGAACGCTAAAGTGAAAGCACTGAAGAGGACGCGCTGCAGTGATGAAGACAGCGAGGATGAGCCGACTGAGAGCGACGTAGCTGTTGACTCAGTGGAGGAGGACGAGGAGCGGAGTGAGAAAGTCACAGTGACCACACGGAAAACAAGAGGACGACCAAAAAACTCTGACTTAGGAAAGCGTCGAGGAAGACCAAGAAAGAATCAGACAGCTGAGAGACACTGAGCTAAAACCACTGTTGAAGAGACAATAGTAGATAACATACTAAACATGAGGAACTAGACATGTGATCTTTAAACTGGGCTTACTTCAGATTTCATTGTTTTTACTGCTAAGACATTATTACATCCGTTTCATCCTGCTGGTGAAAGTAGATGAAGCTGGCAGGATTTTAAGTGCCTGTGTGGTTTGAGTTGAAAATGTTTAATTATTTTCCTGCCGTGATAATGCAACACAGGCTGCAAGGTGGAGCAGTGGTTAGCACCGTTGCCTCGCAGCTAGAAGGTCGCCGGTTCGTATCCCGGTGAGGACACCCGGGATCTTTCTGCGTGGAGTCTCCATGTTCTCCCCGTGCAGCGTGGGTTCTCTCCAGGCTCTTCCTCCCACACAGTCCAGAAACATGTTGAGGTTAACTGGTGATTCTAAATTGTCCATAGGTGTGAATGTGAGTGTGCTTGGTTGTCTGTCTCTAAGTGTAGCCCTGTGATAGACTGGCGACCTGTCCTTACTCAGCTGGGATAGACTGCAGCCCCCCACCACCCTAGTGAGGATTAAGCGGTGTATAGATAATGGATGGATGGATAATGCAACACACTATATAAGAAGGTGAGAAGCGTAACTGTCTCGCATCTTAGTGCCGTCAGTTCACTTGTACTACAGCTTGTCTTGTGTTGGCTAACCCGGTCAGTGCGTGTGATTAGGCCTGGGCGATGAAGCAATGATCATTGTTTGTTAATGCATTAAATGTAAAGAGGCTTGAAAAAACGTAACGGAAATGCAGAGTTTAGTTCAGTGAACCTCTAGACATCCTGTCATTCCTTGATAATGGAGCCCGTTTCCAACTCTTTTCTCTTGGCTGGTTTGTTAGTCTGCAGCCACCTGAGCCTCCCGTCACCCCGTCCTCCCACCAGCTCCATCTAATCACCCCCTGCAACCTGCTCCGAGGGCTGATAGATTTGCTGTGGGTTTGCCAGTGGTGGCCGATGTAGAGTCTCTATGTGGTGACACCTGGTCCAAACCAACCAATCAGAACCTTAACCTCCCCACGGTGCAGCAACTCCACCCCGTGTTGTCGTTTTTACTCTATATGTATGATTGGGAGATCATTTTTTTAGTACTTATATATTTTAATATTTATATTTATTTATGTGTTTGTGTTTTTTACAGTTGTGTTAATGTTAAAATTATTACCTGTGTACGTTGATAAATGGGTTAAAAGTGGGTAAATTCAAAATAAGGTGGGTAAAAACCTTTTTTTTTTCCTCCTGGCCTTAATTAAAATACCTCATTTAATAATTGTCAATAATGAACAATTATATCAAATAAGGCGACTTTATAGATAGAAATCACCCAGCCCTATGTGGAGTTATCAGAAACGTTGAAAGTGTGTTTCAACAACTTGCTGTAAACGCATTTGTGTAGTTGTGCGACAACCACATAACAGAAAGAACAATACAGCAGTGTAATTGAGGAATAACAGGTTTCCCCCGTAGGTGTTTATATCATCCTAATGCAATACTGTACTGTTGAGTCTAACGATGAATTGTTCTTGTTTGCACAGAAATAAGAAACGGATTATAAGATGAGTGTGTATGATGTTATAGTGGGAAAGCATTGTGTTACCATCAGCGTGAAGAAAGATTGTAGATATTTCTATGTTCAGCATGTGCCAGATTTACTGTCTCTTGTTCCCTCTGTAAGGCCGTGTAGGAACACTGGTTTCTCTTTCGGCTCACTCACACAGAATGGACGACTAACAGACTGCGGTGGGAGATTGAATAAACTTGACGACTGTATTGAATTAGAGTTTCACACTCCACCTGTATGTGTGTCCGTAAGCTGCGACAGCGAGACTGAAGCTGAAGCAGCTACTTTATTTATTGTTTTCCTGATGTGGCACGTCAGAGTATCTTGTGTGAAACAGGCCTGTTGTCCATATGTTTGACTTCCACATTAAACTTTCACATGATACCACATCACAGAACAGCTTGACCATACTTGTCCACATTAATAGAAAGCAGCCTCAAACACAATAGAATAATTGAAAAGGGATTTTAGTTCTTTATATTTCTAAAAAAGACAGAGCAGTGACACTGATTCTATTAAGATAAAATGTCAAAGATTAAATTCACATCCATTCTACTGCAGTGGAGGCAGCAATACAAGATATATTTTGAATATAATTGAATATATAAATATATAATATAAAATATATAAATCATATAATTGAATTTCCCTTCTGGGATAAAGAAAGTAATTTTTTTTCATTCATTCATTCATTTTTCATTTCATTTATTATATATGTTTACGAGTTTCTACCTCTCTCACCTATTTCCCTTCACTCCAACCGGCTGAGGCAGATGGTTCAACCAGAGGTTCCTTCCTGGTTAATGGATTTTCTCCCCCAAGTGCTTGTATAAATTAAATCCATAGGAATCTACTCTGTCTCTCCATAATTTTGTAAGGGCTTCACATTATTCTGTGAAATGCTCTGAGATGACTTGTGTGGTTAATTTGCCCTGTATAAAAAAAAAAAATATTGAAAAGCAGTGGTAGAAAGAGTTTAAAGGGAAGTAGAAATGAGGCTTAGATTTAGAAATGTAACATGTGACTGCTTGCTTACACAAATAATTGAAAAGGAATTTCTCACCACTGTTGTTAACGGTGGACGCGCTGGTCCCCACTCCGACCACTAGGTGGCGGTGATGCACCTGCTTGACCTCCAGTGAACCTGGAATAGGAGGAAGAAGAAGCAGCGGTTCGCTCCTGCTTGTTGTTGTTGTTGATGTTGTTGATGTGAGGGTCCTCATGAACTCCAACATTCATCCGACCACCTCAAGACTCGGAGGTTAAAAACCCGGACATGTGCTCCGTCGTCGGTTGCGATTCGCTCCGTCGACATGCGAAGCGGTTCAAGTTACCGGAGGACCCGGAGGAGAGACTGGAGT